TGTGTATGCATGTACAACGTATACACTGTTCATTCTGGTTTCATCCTGAGAAGAGCGCTAGCCTGAACTTACGATGTAAATTTGGGCATAAAGTACGTGAGACACTAAAAAGTTTCATGCGGAAATTGTAGACGCACAGAGTTTCCCCGAAGTCAATTGATGCCGCAGTGGCTAGCGGTCAATTCGGTCGCGGCGCTGTGCTCACGGCATCCCATGCGGATGAGGTCATATCAGACTGGGATACCGCAATGGAACGTATGTCGATTAAAGATACAGGGAGTATTAAAGACGACGCGTTCCTTACGTTACTCGACTCGAAGCTAAAGCACAAGTTGAAGGAGAGTAGACGGGAGTTAGGGAGCAAGTACACCGGCGGGGCTCAATATGATAGCATGCAGAAGTGGGTGGGGAAACTGGAACGTAGTCTGAAGGAAAGGTGAGTTATAGACTACAAAAATAGGATTTGACGAAATCAGAAGGGTCAATACATATTATTGCCCATACGTATGCGTAAGGAAGTATGTATCATTTAGCCTACGCCAATATACACGATCATGCATAAAGTTCACTCAAAACCTTCATTAATTAAAATTAGATGTCACCCTAGCTTTTTATAGCTTTACGTTACTCAACGAGATTTGATGTATCAACTGATCGTTTGCAGGGAATTGCGCATCCGCCTATCCAAAGATGAAGTGAAGAGCATCAAGGAAAATAAAACCATACACAAGGAAAACCGAGACATGGGTGATTATGAGCCCACGTCTTTTTACCAGGTACGTCTTTACTCTCGCTTCGAGCTCTTTAACTCGGCAATTTATACTAATAGGAACGGTGGAAAATGAAGACCTATGGCTAGTACGCACAATACAGTTCAATAAGGATAGAATATAAAAGTGTTTCAGAGTCAATTGTGTGAAATCATAAAAGGGCCTAACTGTTCTTGTCGAATCTGTAAAATTATCATGCATTCAGAATTGTAGGAAGCCTACATATCGTTGTTCACACACACCAGCAAAGCAATGCGATCGCGCACTATATGTCCGGCAATATATTTCTTTTTTGTAGACCACGCGGAATGGGTCATCAAAATCCAATTTTTATCATTACTACGACCACACATTCGCCGACATGCAAATCTCAGATTTTCCGCCAGTCAAACCCAAAGGATAGTAGCACCTTGAACGTTATACATACTACGTCCTGAAGTGTATCGACATGTTTGTCTCAGCAAACAACTACCATACCGCCAGTGCCACAATTCATAATTTTTAAGTACAATGTACTACCTATCACACAGATTTATCGACACAGAAACGGGGGCCAGACTATTGAGTATCCCAGGGCCGGTACGCCAGAGAACGATGTGCGTATAGCATACCTATTCTTCATCGATACGACCGACGACTTTTTAGGAGTGCAAGAGGCGCTGGACATTCTCTACGAGACCAAACACACGTTTGTGATCTACATCACGCGGAGATCTCACTCTTCATTTCTCAAACTCATCAGAGAATACTACGAGGTGAGGGGTATAAGAAGAAATATATATACACGAACAGTGTGATGGGTATAACCTGTGATATGTACACGCTTTGCTTCTCACTATTGCACTCGTGTGCCTCTGACAGACTGTTCTACAAATGCCAATTACTTCTATGTTCTATAAACTTGATATGTGTAACTATTATTGTATTATCTGTATGTGTGCATGTATTTCACAGTTTTGCAGTGTATGTGGACAACGCATGATCTCATTTTTGTGGTATTGATCACGAGGTTGCACTGCTCCGGCAGAATCTCCCATCTGTCGACTACCTTATCTAGGCACGTCACGATATGAAGTCTCGGTAAAATGTTTGAAGTCCAGTATTAGATGACATTGCTCAGACCAGGCCTTATACGATACTTCTCTCCAATCCAACCTTTCGATGATAGTATACCTGATCTAATAAGGCAAAGTTCTTCAACAAATTCAGAGATCAGTTTAAAAAGTCACGTACATATAATTATATGTACCATCTCAATTTCATTCAGGACCTTGATAACGTGCGCGTGATGCGTGGCCGAGAACTGGCCGTCAAAGGTACCGAACTTTCCGACCCCGACAAGCAAGTCTACGAGTACGCCATCTCTGTGGGAGGGTGGGACATTGCGATTAACCTGTGTGGCCTATCTATGCCCATAAAATCACCGGTACGTGTTTGTATCTCAATGTAGTTGGTGATTCTTATACGTGACGGTGTGCGTTATTTCGTTGCGGTTTCTTCTCGCGTATGATATTTGCAGTTTGGTCTGTATGATGGATATTATTTGCTGTTATTGACTGTTGTATTAAGATTAAGACACCATTGGTATCAAGTGATTGATCTGTGTGTTTTCAGTAGCGATTTTTTGGCTCACATTAGCCGGTACGCGCCACGGCTATTAGTGGGTCCTTTTACGTATGCAAAAGCAGACGACTGATAGTTTGTTGATCTCGCTAAACGTGTACGCATACCATCTTAACTAAATTGTACAGGCGGAGATCGCACGCGAGATCGTGACCAAGAAGGGCGTGAGTTTCGTATCCAGTTTTAATGTAAAGGACAATCTCGGTAAGATTTTTTTCTTTCCTCATACTTTTTCAATTTCAGACTTTTCTGGAAATGAGCAAAATAAGTGACTTTATGCTGTAACGCCCATTCTTTGCCAACTAGTGTGATAACCGCAAGCGTTTTTGCTGTTCTAAGTGTCTGATAGGTCGTTTTTAAATTTGCCTTAGTTTCTAATTTCGACGAACTTATTTCCAATTCATATTGACTATCGATGCACACTCGCAGAAGGGTTCTTGGAACGCAATGCTGACACACAGATTCGCTGTCGAAATCAGGTACGCAAGAGCATCACTTTTACAAAACCATCAACAATTTGGCGGGTCATTACTATTTTGTTACATTTGATAATGTAGTGATACTGACGTCGTATCCGTGACAAAAAAAGGCCCGGTTTTATTTCTTGATACTATTTGTGGAATTAGGGGTAGTTGGCGAGAATGATGAGCAACGAATTTCAGTCTAGAATTAAAATATAGTTTATGCGACAGATATACAAGTAGTGTTCCTTATTTGTCCTCATATTAGCGTGCATGCACATTTACGTATGTACGCAATAAAACCTGAATAGTCAACATGGTCGCAAATAAGAATCATTTCGATGTGATCTAATTGAACAGGAGTGCTCTCAGCTGGAAAATACTCCCAACAATCTTCCCTTGTATTTTGGTAAACGATGGGTAGCGCTGTCACCAGACTTCACTGCATACCTTGTGCAATATGACGATATGGCGGACTGGTCGACCTTCCTGTCCACTTCGCGCAACGATGTTTGTCTTACTCAGGTAGGTAGATTTATCCCAGGGAGAGAGCGTGCGAAGTGGTATATTTCTATCAGACCACCTCACCATACTGGTCTTTTGCATAGTCCCCTTTAAACTAGGTTTAGCTCTCCGTTTGCGTTTCTAAGTCCACGTATAGTTTGGCATGTGCAATCGCAAAGCGCGGTGCTCGTCATTGGCCAGAGAAACTTAATTGTATCGTGTGTTTATAAATTTACACCCTGTGAAGTTGAAGTCTTGAAACAACCCAACTCTGTTGTTGCGATGTATTCATACCGCCACACAGACGGTACTTCGCAACTCTGGCTTCGCATGGGAAATGTTCGACCCGATGCTTGACAGTGCGCCCTCTGCAATGCTATTCCCCGGGTTAGTAGACAATAGCGATGATAATGCGAATACAGACAATGTCGCAAATACGGAGAAAAAAATGCTAACGACCGCTAAAGGTTTGTATTCACTGCAAAGAGAGACGTTGAACATAAGTGGCTTGGGGTCACCATTGTTTGTGAGGACAATCAAACCGGGACACACTCTTAAACACTTGATTGTGGGTAATCTGCTGGTCAAACAACAGAGCCAGTGAGTGCACTAAGTCATGTGTATGAAGTCCAAATGGAGCTTGCACTGTCAATGAGTTTTGAATCAACTCGCGATTGTATCGAGGGGATTTTTTTTTGCAACCTCGTTCATCGGCTGTATTGCCCAGTTTCATACCCTAATCCGTAACTCAATTTACATACATAGCTGTTATGTATCGCAAACGTATAAACTGCACGTTAGCGAAATAGTGTAAAGCAGGAAAGCTCACAACGCCTACAACGTAAAATAGCCAAACATACGACCATCTGAGCACTTTCACATCACAAGAGCGGCTTGAGTGCTTCATACCACTGCATTGTGAAAAGATCTCGCCACTGCGTCACGCACAGTAGCAACGCAACAGACTCATGTACAGTACGGATCTAGTCGGGGCTCGTTCTATGACAGTTCGAGCAATTCGGCCTTTCAAAACGGATTAGACGATATTGTGGTTAGCTACAGTGTGTAAGAATTGCTTATTCAGCGACCTTTGTCGTGCAGTGTTTGTTTTATCATCAGCACTGCTCGGTAACACCTCGCGCAACTGTGGCGTGAAATGACGATGCAATAAGGGTGGAATATGTACTGGGAGGAAACATCGATCCCAGATCTTTCAGGTCAGAATCGTTATGTTTTCCACTCAGTCGTCGTACGTTTCTGCTTTTACGAAAGGTTGAGCACAGCAGTCATGAGCAGTATACTTGTGGCTTCGGAAGTTGTGCAAGTATGCCTAGGCAAATTTAGGAATTTTGGGCGATCTTCTGCTGGTTGCCTAGTCGATTGTGTCCCCGTTGGCAATTCCAATGTATGTTTAGGGGAACGTGCGAGTGCATCCGGTGATCCAGCTCATGGGTTTGAATACTGCCAGTTTTTCCATGTGGATTAAAATTATGTACAAATCGCGTTTCGTAGCGGATATTGATTGTTCCTTGCGGGGGCAAGGTCCCCGGAAACCAGAAATAAGAGATATACAGCACAGGTTTCTGGCCAACGTGAAGATACGGGTCGCGCATACATCTTTTACTACTGATATTCTACGATCGTGACGACACGCTTAGTGATTCCCGACGAGTCTACAAATATGTAAACAATGAATTGCAAGCATTTGTAGCTGAAACAGACTAGCGCATGAACTGCGGCGATCTATTCAATCATATACAGTCGAACACAAACTTGTGTTTCCACATCTAGTTGGTGTACACGCAGCTGAAACCCAATTTGCTTATGGTGGATCACCTGCCGTGCGGTCATGAGTATACGAGTATGTTGTCGTGGAGCGCAACCAGATAATGCTAATAACAGAGCGAATTTTGCAGTTAAGCCGATACGGAGCTTTTGCATTATGGCACCTCAGATTCGACATGTAGACCTTTGTTCTTTGCCACATATCCCAATAGTAGCGCACGTAATACCGGCCGTGGGTTGAATTGGGGATGCTTCTCGATTGTTGGCACCAATGTGCACCACTACATACAGCACAACTCTTGATAGTGCCAAACACTAAGGTAGTGGTGTATACAGGACATTGTTACGTGAGTCAACACAGAATTCAATCGATCGAAAGGTGAGCATGTAGAACAAGTGACAAATGAGTGCTTCATAGCGAGCAGTGGAAAATAAATTTTCCGGATCAAGGAATAGTTACTTCGCGAGTGAAAATGCTTTAATGAATAACTACCTATACTAAACCATGAATCCGAGTCAGAGTTTAATTCTCACACTGACTCTAGTCCCGAAACCCCTTCACGCCTTTGATCCAGAAAACCAGGGCTGCCGACAGACAAATTCCCGAATAATTTAGCACAAAAACCATCATAGAGATCACAGCCCCGTCCCTGGCCCGCACTGTTTGGCACCAAGTGATGTGAGAAGTGGTTGTCATAAAGAATAGCAATCATTTCATGCACGGAAGATATGTTACCGCTCGTCATGCACAGAAGATATGTTACCGCTCGATGATTTATAATATGCAATTGTTGAACCATAATCGGAACTGTCTGAATTATGATACCATTAACGGAATCGATTTCATAAAATTGCACATATCAATTACATCCAGTTGGCCTGATTTATTACACCATAAAAAATCATTTCACACTTGTCTGTATATACTAAAGTCATACACATGCAGCTTACCCAGATCAGCTGTCTCGTGTTCGAAGTGTGACCACAGAAAGAGTCCCAGTGACAAGTTCATTGCGGACCCTACTATCGGCCGCAGCATGGAGGCGGCCAGTGCAACACCCACCTGGAACACATGTCGTAATAAACCATACGGCAGTTGATTGATGCGTGATGAATGTGTGCTGTGGTGTAAAGCACTATTTTGACGTAGTATTGTAGACTAATTGTGTGATAAATGACTCAAACAATTTAAAAAATCACAAGGAGTACGTGCATAGACTGCGAAAAATTAGGCCTCCAACATCGTTAAAGTTAATAGCACAATAACGCGGGGAACCGTTCCCTTCAATTCCCTGCCAACGCCTGCAATTTCCGACAGATGAACTATTATTGCCAGACGAGAGTCAATGGCACCAGAAAATAAGCACACAAATAACAACACGCGTTGATGAACAACGCACAATCTCCTTTTTCAATCGCTTTCGCGTTACAATTTAAGACTCATCTTTTCAAATACACATCCCGTTTTAGTTGCACAATTCGGTACATGAGTTCTACAATGGATATAAACAATTGCAAACAGGTAGGCGCCATGTGTCCATTTTCATAGACACATAAACGTGCGCAATACCAGTTTCTCCTGCATCGGTGCCCCTCCTGTGTACGAGATCCCAACAGCGACACCTGACGGGATCGATATCGCACTGCAACAATCAAGATAACAAAATATATAAATCAAACGCTTTTCTTTCTAAACTGCCCTGAACTTAAAGGGCAAACCTAGGGCAGTTGCGAGCGCAAACACTTTCGCAAGTGTGTTGTCTAAGATTTGAGCGAAGAGAATTGAAATACGTTGGTCAACAACGATACAGTATTCTACTTTCGCGCTTTACTATGAGAAACATCCGTCTTTAATAACAGTTAGCACGGGAATACCGCCACAATCATCGAACATACCACGCCTAGTTGTGAGCAGCACATATCTCACCTTCCATATTTCAGTCCAAAAGGTGAACACAATCACATTCACTTAAGTAATAAAATACGTCTATAACTGATTTCTGGCTCAGATGTGGCTGGATGTGTCTGGGTTGCTAATAGGTTTACAAGCCAATGATCTCTCCTCACTCAAGTGTATATATAAATGATCAACAATAGTATCTAGATAAATGTACAATAAAAATAAGGACATGTTTTGATTGCGATTTGGTAACCATACTGTAAAACACAACCTACCAATTGAGCAAGTCAGTGATCTTTCCGGAGCCATAGAATGGCCTGTGTTTGTATGTATCATGTGTTGCAATTGCGTACATGCCCATACAACCACAGATCCCAACCAGGAATCCGCCAACAAACGCGATGCTGACCAGTTTAACTAATAGGTGCAAGACAGGGAGATGATTGGTACACTGCGAATTAGTAATCGAGCATACGGCCATACATGAGTCAGGGATAAGCCTGCAACGTAAATCGGATCAGAGAAGGAACTAAATCCATCATCGACCTATGAGACATCAGAAGCAGCTTCCTAGCGTGTGTATCGTGAACGACTTCAGTCATCGGCAGAATCTCAGGAATTGACATGTGTGCAGAGACAAGCATCATTCGTACAGAGTGCAACACGGCGCTGATAAGGATGTGAATTTGAGAGCGAGTGTGTATATCTTAATAGACTCACCCAAAAAATAAACGTGCAAACAAATATACGATTCCAACATAACATACCTTAATCAGACTGCCTCCTACAGCGTGCTCATAGTTCAAAACTCGCAAAATTGATTGTAGATTGCGTATCACGGCAGGGAAATAGAATCAGGACCACGAATCGTTTTCTGATGTAGTCCCCGTAACACCCACACATACCTTGGCGTTCCAAACTTTTCTGTACAACGACAGTGTCTCCGGTACTAATTCCCCAAACACATCCTATTTAAGGGGGGTTGGGCAAAAGAATGATCATGTATATTTGACATCTTTAAATTGTCAAGTGTTATAATGTCAGATTCAGTGAAAGTTGTCATCAATTTGTGTCTAGTTCATAATGTCAAAAGTCATTTCGAACAATTTTTCAATAATCAAGTGCATCGTGGCCGTGAATAGCCACACTTTAAAGTACGATATAGCTCAATCACGCGAAAATAGTATTTTGGTTCATATATCAGTATTGCACAATAATTTATATCCTTATTGTGCATCAAGCTATGGCAGACATTTGGCTATAATGATAATAACCTCATGCGGCAATTCAATTTATTTTATACATAAATCCAGAATTCAATGTAACGCAAAATAAAAATTAAGGGGCCAAATATCTGACCATGACAGTGTTCACGGACCAACTCATCCGGAAGATCGTTTTTGCTGATTATCGTACCGTACGCACAAAATTCAAAAGTTGAATAGAAGAGAATCATTAAACAACTGAGATTGCGCTTAAAGTTTCTTATAGACCTGAAGCGAATAGGCCAACCGGAATAAAAAGGGGTGTGGAGGGTCTGCAAATTTCGGCAGGAGCACCTCACAGTCACTCGCAGCTACAAGATCGTTGACCCCGACACCATCCTAACAGACAGATATAGCCACGGCTCAACACTCCACAATACTAGCTATCTTGTGTTGTGTACATGATACTATTTCTGACAATGATTCACACATCTCCATAGGGCAGAATAAATACGTACCGAGAAGTGGAACCATCAAGGGACTGATCAACATTGACGCGACGATAAAAGGCGTGCTCTTGCTCAGGAGGCCGATGGCATTGAGCATGGCTCCACACAGCGTAAGTGCCACGATGTCAAAGGTCACGTGGTTCTGGTGCGTATCCAGTGAAGTCAGGTACAAGGATTACAAATTCGTTGGTGACACGGTAAGCGGGCTAAGAGAAATTTGTATCACTATACAGACTGTTGTACAGTACATACTAACACTCTAGGCGTTTACATAATTAAACGCCTTCCACAGGCAGTCAAGTGATATAAGAGACTGATAGAACATACTTGAGCACCATTTCCGCAGACACCTCAAAACTAATGAGATATTCGTGGAAAACTAAATACAGAAGTGTAAGATGACAACCACGCCAATTGATAGAAACTGCGCCTTACTCGAGTCGAGCTAGGCAACCTTGAGCTCGAAAAACGTGCGCTGGAGCTCAACACTGAAATGTTTAGATTTTATGTAGCCTACGAGACTTGTATTCGCGCACACATGTACGGAACCCATCGTCGACTCAATTCGACACGGCACTCGCTAATAATACAGGTGTTCAGCAAACTATTCCGTACCAGACTGAGAGTCTAGCCAACACAGACGCATACACCCGGTCTCAATCCGACTTTTTTTAGCACCTCCTCAACGCTCAGATGCTATCTATGAAGCACAAAACAGGAAGCAGCAATAGTACAAAAACGTATGCATTTGAATACTTTGCCAAAACACGTACAGACCTATACACTCGCGACCAAATAGTGTTTAATTTCTTTAAGTTACTCCGTTTTGGCATACTTGAACTCTTGATTGCCGCAAAATTTACAGACGTTAGCGCCAAAACAGTTACTATCAAAACTACACACGGGCCACTCACCCGTGATTCGATCTTACGCAGCACCTCCGAGTCGCTCAGGTGCTTGGCGTGCTTGGGCCACCACGAGACACTCTCGTCACCACCTAGGCCAAGGACATCCTCTACATCCCCATCCTGGGCAAAGGTATCCCACACAGCGATGTATCCAAACTTCGACCCTACACCACACGCCGTGAGCTGTGTGATGGCTCGCTGCGCATTGTTTTCAATACAGTTGAATCGGATGCACCCATTCGTGGTATGGTCTTGAGGTGAGGATGATCTGTATGAATGTGCAGAGATGCCACAACGAAATAATAACGTTGATGAGTTTTCTTGATATAAAAAGGTATCAGGGGGACAAGCAGGACAAATTTGCCACTAAAAACGTTTCTGCCAAAATATGAACTATGGCATTCGACTTCTAAAACGCTGCTGAATGGTGAAATTACATCTCAGCACCTGCAAATGTTATAACAAACGCAAGGCCAAAACGACTCTACGTAGAAAAACTCGTTCAGATTAATATGAGCACGATCAGACGTCCGTTTTAGATATTGCATTCAAGCTCCGCGTGCCAATGAAAATCTTGTTGCAAGTGTATTAATTATAGCAGAGGATCTGATATCTCGGTTAAAGCATTATCAACATGGGGGTAGGATAGATCGCTTGAGACTTCTAACAGAAATACACCATATTAATATGAAAAACTTGAGGACTTTTCGGATACATACTTCGGACTATCGTCGGGAAAGAGAATATGCTTGCGACTGTTATTTGCGTTGCAGTCGAGTGCACCCTCGACATGGCATGCATTCGATTTGTACGATACAACGGCATCGTCAGACGTCAGCATGCGATTGTGATATGAGGTTCTCCGTTTATTCCTAGCACCGGCTGTCTTTCTGGTGCATGTAGCATGTGCATTCTCATCAGCAATGTACTGTGTGTTGACACAGTTCACCACCTCTTCGTATGTCTCTTCAGTTACATACGCAAGGTCATGCTCGTCTGTATCTCCGTTCGGTTGGGGTTCAAAGACTGCACTTAACAGCAGCGTAGGGCTCTGCGCTGATTGATGCGGTGTGGGCACGAACACGGCCTGCGCAAACCCCATTCGTTGCACACATTGTACTGTGGTTTGCAAGTGGTGCCGTGGCACATTGACCTCAAACGATCTCATTCTTCTAATTTCACACACCGGATACTGTAAAGATAGAAATGGCTATTATATACACTTTTAGATTGTGTATGTGTATATATAAGAATCACCTATGTATGTGATCTGAGCGAGCGTGGACGGATTAAACTATACCATGGAGTAGGACTTAGCGCAATCCAGCGCACGGTCTCACCAGTCTATACACGACAATTGCACCCTTCCCATGGTCATGGTTGAAATTTTTAGTTATTTCCAGAGTATTCGGTATCTGTGGTTATCTTATAATATCTCGTCTCATGGAATATGTCGCTTATATTTACATACGTACTGCGCTTAAGGTGCACCATACTATGCACAAACAAGAAACTACTAACAAGCCCAAAGCACAAATATCATCAACATCCATTTATAACAGATTCATTTTTACAAAATTGTTCTATTTTCAGAAGGCTATGAAAATATGTATTTTTCCATCCAATAGTCGCATTGCAGTAAAGTGCGCATTTTGATCACACACCAATCAGCAGCTATTTTCTAAACATTCCGTAGAGAAATGTAATCTATTGCATCATGCATGTAGTGATATACATATATTGGGTCAGGGTATTTTTTATGTAAGGGCGAAGGGTGTGGTTATCGACTAATATCTACACAAGGTCTGGTCATTGACTCAAAAAGGCTGTGGATATCATCACTAGGTCAGAATGTTCATATTAAATCAGGTGGCTTTCACAATAGACCGTTAAAGTTTTGGTGCACAGTATCAGACACATAAAATCAACATTGCACGTGCAAGTGATGAGACCGCTGTCGTAAAACCCCAGTGCAAACCAACGTTGAATCAAGCAAAATAATGATTTTATGGAATTGTGATAGTCACTTAGTTCACATCATGTACACTATTAGTGAGGAATTCGGAAATTCATGTATCAATGTTGTGTGGCGTTATATATATAAATATATATACATAT